GTATTATATACATGGGTGAACATAATAAACCTCACACAGCTTGCAGTATACTGAGTGCTTGATTAGTCATTTCATTGTTTAAATGTTAAATATCTTCTGTTAATTTGCAATCCCTAGCAAAATTGTTAGAGGCAAAAAAAAAAAAAAACAACAACAACAAAAAAAACAAAAAACAACACTTTTAAAGTTTTCATAAGTTTTGCATAGCCCCCAGAAAAAGACGTGTAATGCTACTCACAATGTATAAACAATGAACGTAGATGAGACAATTACAACGAATATGTACCTACCCCCGTTTTGGAGAGCTATTTTAAGTTTGTGTAATGTCATTTCATGATAGTTATACTATTTTTGGGTATAGCATTTTTTCCACTACATACTCAGCAAAAACGAATTATTGATGTTACATAGTGTTTACAACCGCAATTCTTAAAGAAAGTTTCCCACACCAATTTCTTCCGCAAATTAACTCCCCTTACATTTTAACAATGGCCAAATCATATTTTGGAATATGGTTGGTGATGACAAGGTTTCGAAATTTAATTTCATCTTGGGACCAAGATATAAGATATTTTAACACACTTTAACAAACTTTATAAACTGACACATATAAGTGAGAGCTATTCAAGTATGCTTTTTTTAACCATGACCTTTCCTTTAATCTTCACCTCACTTTTCTTAAATTTGTGTTTAGCTCAGTATTAAATATTCAAACTACATTTATCAAACTTAAGGACGTTCGATCCTGAGCTTTTGAGCAGATTTTGGTCAGGACCTTTATTTCTAAAATTCTGCATCATTTTTATGTTCTAACATTGAATCTGGATTCAACAATGCAAATTAAACTATATCCAATGAAAAAACCGCGATGAAATTCCATTAAAATAGGATTAAGCCAGGAACTATATTTTGTGGCGGTAGGTTTTTTTTTAGAAGAAAATGATCAATTTTTCCCTTTTGAAATATATACAGTAATGTTAAGTTTAGATTACTATTTTTCCATGCTGGTTGCACATAGAGCTGTTTTTTGCAGTGAAATGTTTAATGCTGGCTCTGAAATATCTAATAAATTATTTCTTATGAATTCTTTCATTATATTGTGACAAATATAGTAAATATATTCTGAAAGTCTAGGAAAAAAATTGAGCCAATTTTAACATAAAATTTACACTTTTTTAGTAATGTCTAAAAATTTAGATCATAGACCCCCACTTTTGTTTTTCTTTCCTGAATATATAAGATAACTTTGATCAATCTGCTTAAATTCAGCAAAAGTTTAAGACTTTAAAATAATTTTCTTGCTTTTTAAATTTTTAATGCCAGAAAAATCACATTTTGTGAGTGCAGAAAGGTCAAATAATTCATTATGCGAAGCAATTTGAAACTTTTTCTTTGTCACAATTTTAATGCGTCTTTTTTTAAATAGACTAATAGTTTATTTTGTCCCATGATTTATTTGGATAAAAACTTTGGAGGGAAAACGTCGAAGATGTGATTTTTGATTAAGACACAAATATCAGTGCAAAAAGGTCAAATTAAATGGATTGTAGCGCCGAAAGAAGCATATTGACCCCCATTTTTTGTTTTGATTTTTAATTAAGCTATGTGTGTAGAAACTAAAAATATACTTGACAAAAAAAGTTTAAGACTTTAAATATCAGGATCCAACCTCGTTAATATGCTAATACCTACTGTTAAGAGCTATTCAATTCAACTGTATTGTTCTTGATCTTTCTATGACCTTGACTTTATATATTTAATTCTTAAATTTGTGTTATCTCAGTTTCAAAGACAGTTTTAGATATATTTATCATATATTTATCAAATTTCATATTCCAATACCTATTAGTGAGAACTTTTCAACTGTATTATAATTTTCTGACTTTCATCTTTCCTGTGTCCTTGACTTCACTATTCCTCATTTTCCTTACTTTTAAACAAAAAAGGAAGTATTTACTTTTCATGTTGCATTACTAGTGAATGGGGGGGGATTCTTGTCCTTTGCACATAACCCTATTTTTTTAATTTCAGACTTTTAATACATATATTGTAGAAAACACTTACATAAAAGGTACAAGGGTCTTATGCTCACCTTAGCGTTTTCTGCACTATTTGATACATGTGTATTTGCACCCCAGGAAATAGTAGAAAATGTATCGTGGCTTCTTGGCTAGTTTTCAAGGCACGAAGGAGAGTATGATTAGAGGCAAAAGCGGAAGTTACTATTATATATATATCATACGTATAGTTTCACTTTTTTCATTCTGAATGATTTTGTTTTCTGCTGAATTAAAAAAAAACTTGGGAATAAAGTATGGATCCAGCAAGATTTTCTCTGGGGGAGAGGGATTAAGTTGTTTCCGTAACAATCAAACATCCAAGTACGTAAAACTCACTTCGTGGTCGGAAGGGGTATTGGTTGACTTTTATGAACAAGCTACTTTATTCCATATTCGTGATGCTTCCTACCACCTTTACCGGTCGCGACCACTAAGTAGGGCACTCGCTTCGTGATCGGAAGGTACCGGGTTCGATTCTCGTTCCCGGCGCCGCATCAAACCGAAGACGTTAACATAGGTGATGACTGTTCCTTCGCCGAGCACCCGACATTGGAAGTGAATGTCAAGGTTCTTTGGGAACTTTTGAGCCTTAAAAAACCGAGGTCCATTGTCACGGTAGATGTTGTCACGATAAAAATCCTTACTGCTCAATGGCATGGCGTGCCTGCTGATTAGGTATATATGGTGACGTCTCATTTAAAGAGGCTGGGGGGTTGTGGCCATTTTTAGACTACATGTATATTGATCTCCTTTACAAGAAGAGCTCCATATGAAGATATAGAAAATGATCAAATTTTAAAACTAAAATTTTTGAAATTTTTCTTTGCCAAATGATAGTTGACAGCTTAAGATATCATATCTAAAAAATTAAGTTAAATCTGGTGGTTAATTTGTGGTTAATTTGTTGACCCCCAGCCTCCTTAAGTTATACAACATAATGGGGGCTTAGCTCCAAAGTCATTGATAGTTCGAAGATTTCCCCTATCGTGGGATTATAGCTCCAAAGTCATTGATAGTATGAAGATTTTAAATTATGTCGCTGAAGAAATTCGAAGAAATATTATAGAAGTTTCATTATATATATGTATTATATTTTTCTAAAAATAAATAAATTTCAAACTAACTGCCAGGTACTAAAGCACAGGTACTTTAGACAAATCGAACATAGCATTTCCCTATTAATGCAATCAAGAATAACAAAAAAAAACCCCACATGAAAACCAACAATGATAGCACGTATCATCAAATTCTATAATTGTTTATATGTGTTTAACTTTTCAAATAATTAATATATCTCTTTTGATTATTCAAATCAACATGTTTCCCTTAATGTTTAAATCACAATAATATTGACAAATACTGATAAATCTTAATTTCATGTCATTCTGAAAATCTGAAAAAAAGCATACCATCGCAAACAAAACTGCTGCAAATATACTATAGCATTCACTAAAAACAAGAATAACTCATGGTCTTTAAAAAGCGTAGTTTATAAAAATAAGATGATGTTTGATGGGTAAATGGGGGATATTAGATGCAAAAAGTTTTACAACAGAGTATTGTCTAGAAATGATTTAAGGATATTTATAATAATTCAAAATAAGCGGAAATCCTCATAAACAGAGTAAATAAGAACGCTGATAGATTTCCTGACAAGTTCATTCTAAAAGTCTACTCAGATAAATCTACAATGATTCTAATAATTCAAGACTTTTCCTGACTGCTTAGAATGACTTTTTCCCACATTCTTCTTGCCGAAATATCCAATAAAATTTGGAGATAACGAACAACTTCCAAGCCCAAAGTTCATGAAAACAATACAAATCGGGAGCAGAGCATACACGGACCTCCGAAAAAATTCAGAGGTGGGAGAAGGTGCCTTGCAGGAGTGAGCATCCCCTGCCAACCGGTCACGCCCGCCGTGTGTTCATTGTCATGATCGGAAAATAACGGAAAAATCCGTCGACAGATCAGTGTGTAAATAATGAGCCAATCTAAATAAATCACCTCCAATGTTAATAAATCCATATTCATCATTGATTGATTGATTGTGTGTTGTTTTACGTCCCATTCGAGAATTTTTCACTCATATAGAGACGTCACCATATTACCGATGAAGGGCTTCAAATTTTGACCTTTACTCGGCACTCAGGCCCATTGAGCAGTGAGGGTTCTTTATCGTGCCAACGTCTGCCGTGACACGGGGCCTCGGTTTTTAAGGTCTCATCCGAAGGACCCGCAACTTTCACTTCAAAGTGTCGAGCGCATGGCGTAGGAACAGTTGCTACCCATTTTTTTATCGACTTTGGTCTGTTGCGGCCGAGATTCGAACTCACGACCTCCTGATCATGGAGCGAGCGCTCTACCGACTGAGCTACCGTGAACGGTAAATTCATATTTAGAAAACTAATAAGAATAATATTTGTTATAAATAGTTCAGCATGTAAACTGTCAGGTGAACCAATGGAACTTTATTTGGAGTGTATGTCTCCCAGATGATTCGATGCGCAAGTGCATGCTCTACGTACGAACAATTTCTAAAACGAGGCTAGCTACTGACAAATAAGTTGATTAAAAAAAGAATATCAACAGTTTCCTTTAAAGCAAACATTTCCAAAACTTTATGGTCGATACAATGACCTTGTCAGCAAATACAATCTATCATTCATTAAGTCGAAAATTGACTTTATCATACAAATTGTTAATCCATTATTTTTACACTAGATAACGGATTTTTCCGTTTGCCCGACAATGACAAGGAGCACAAGGCGGGTGTGGCCGGTTGACGGGGGATGCTTACTCCTCCATGGCACCAGATACCATCTGTAATGTTTTAGAGGTCCCTGTTTGCTCTGCTAATTAATTTGTATTGTTTCAATGGACTTTTGAGCTTGTTTACTATACATTATTTTCATATTTCATTTCACCCTCTTTGTATCTTCAGCATCCTGAATATAAAGCTTGTATTCTCATCAGTGTGGCAGTTTGTATTTTATGGTTTGCTTTTTGTCTGAGCGATTGTTGGTATGAGTACAAAGCACCTTGGTGGTTCCCTGTAATTTCTTGACAGATTCCAAGAATTTGCCAGGATATGTCATTTGTTTCTTCTGGAAACTCCCACTGACCGCAGTGGACAAGGACCTGTAGATCATTTACAGCTGATTGTGCTCTACTTCTGTCGATATGTATAGAGCACAAAATCTCTAACATATGTAACATTATAATATCTCCAATGTTTAATATATACTCGCCGTTTAGTCGACTAAATTGAAGTTCTGGTATTAATTCCTTGATATAACGACTGGTACTGTTAAGTCTGATTGGCATTGTTACAGCTTCTCTCATCTTTGTGGACCAAGATTCTCCGCCCAAGGTCGCTGTGTAGTTTTCAATGTTAACTTTATTAAGACGCATTATATATGGTCGTGCTAATTTGATCTTTATCTTCTGTATAACAGACAAAGCTTCTTTGTATCGCAATGTCCTGTAATAATACATGGCTATATACAACATGTCAGAAATAAATCCAAATTTGGCTGCCAGTTTTACCATGTTACAGGACATTTTGTCGAAGACATAAACCAGCTTGTTTGCACCTGTGTTGATATAAAGATTGTGTAATATAAAAGCAGTCGTCTGAAGTATGTCAGCTGTATATCTTTGTAACATGATGACTTGGTATTTCCTCAGTGGTGAAGCTATCAACAGTTCAACTGTATGAAATGAATGAATACAGCTGAGTAGGTCATCCATGTATTCTGCATAATTGCTGTTTATTTCATTGAAGAGCTCTACATCAAACTCGTGTTCTGGGATAACAATTCGCTCATCTGTACAAATGGGACGTTTTATATTATAAATGACATTCATAACATAGGATCTGATAGAGGGACAATAGAACAGAAATGCTATTCCCTTCAGATATATTGCATATAAGCTATTGAATAGATTCTTTTGTGCTTCACCGTACACATTGTGGAGAAACATGTTATTTTCTGGTATGAAGAAGTTTGGACATACTCCTTCATACACCCATTTCAGGATCAATTTAAAGCAGATCCAGAAACAATACAGCAGATTTTGAGGACACCAGGAAGGAACTGTATTTTGTTGAATTACCCAGAAAATTGCTGTCTTCATGTGGTATGAACACAGCAATTTACCTTCATCCCCAAACATTTTGCAAAATATTTCCTTTGATAAAATCTTAAGCAATCCGTATACGAGAAATTGAGTATGGTTCATTTCTAATACAAGTTTTTGTTCTGCCAAGGAAAAAGAAATTCTCCACTCGTCATCTTCATGATTGCCTAGTTTGTGCCCAATCGCCACAAAATGACATCCACCCTTAACTATTTCTTGAACAACAAGCGGACGAGGCCATGTGTGGCATCTGTCAATCCATAAATAGGCAGTGGGAGGCCAAAAGTCACTGAAAAGACAGCAGGCGACATCAAATTCTTGACCAATGTGTACTTCACTGATGCAGGGTCCATGCAAATATCGGTGACTCCCAGTACATTTTTTATCATATAAACACATAATCTCTTTGTATTTGGAGCTGGATATGTAAAGTCCACTATTCATTCTAATACAAACTGAAAAGAAGTTTCTTTTTACATTAGGGGTCAGCAGCTGAAGTAAAGCGAATCCTGGTGGGCTATCAGTGCAGTTGGCGAAAATAAGAGTTTGTCTGTGGTAGTACTGAGTCTGGTTTAATTCCCAAATCACTTTGAATTTCTTTGGCCAAACCATGTAATCAAAATCTGATCCTTTTAGTCTGAATCCTTCGCTCATACTTCCACTACACAAAATATCAACAACTCTGTTTGCTAATGCTGAATTCCGTCCTTTTTGGTGGATATCCTCTGTCTCTCTCCTCATGGCTACCTGTTGTGAATTTCCAATTTTTCGACATAGACCCATGAACACGGACTCTGACAAATGCTGGATACCTAATTCCCTGACAATTAAAGTTTGAACGGTTTTGATAAAACTTGAAACAACATTAACAATTTTCTGGATTTAAACGTTTGAAAACGATATATCATAGGTTTTTTTTTACTTACATATCTGGCGATGAGTTGAGTGCCATTATTTTTCTTTATGGGGTGATGAAATTATTTTTCTAAAAAGTTCTTAAATCCTGTTCTTCCTGTTCATAAAGTAAATTACTTCTTGTTGAATGTATCCGGAAAGGATGTTACATTTTCTATGCTATAATTTGTCAAGGGTCCTTATGAAAAAGGTAAAGATAACAAACGATGATTGATCTCAAGAAATCTGCAAACAATGCAAATCTATGAACAGGCATAAAAATGAACCCTCGGAAATTCAAGATGGGATCAGGTGCCAGGGAGGAGTAAGCATCCCTTGTCGACCGGTCATATCCGCCGTGAACTCCATATATTTACATTTGCAAATGCTTTCCTTTATATAACACTACTAAAAGCAATGTGTATCTATATCCGTATAAACACGGGTTCCTCGCGTCATAAACGTTCGTCGTAATTTCTCAGTGACGTCATAAAAGGTCGACGCGCAATTAATGGATCAAACACGTGCCGTTGAGTTTGAAAAATAAAACATTTCACGCGTTAAAGATTATAATCAGGAAAATATAAAATACGAATAAGTCATAAATGTAAATATAAGAAATAATGTATCATTTTCAAACACTCAGCTAAGTTCACATTTGTAATGCACCGTATGGGAAGTTTCATTGTGACGTCATTAAAAATTCAACATGCGACAAAAATCTATTTAACCACATGATAATGCGTAAATAACGACTTACATTTATTTATTTTATCAATTATTTATAAAAGCATGTAAAATCACAACATTTGATAACAATGCTGCCGAGTTATAACAAGCAAATCTTGTGTCATAAATGATGTCACTAGCCTTGACTTGACGCAGTACAAGTGATCCAGAGGAGTGGATCCATTGGTTTAATAATTACAAAAATGCTTAAATAAATATCAAACCATCGCCAATGTTAAAATCTAATCAATAAAATTAAAAGGAAATAATTTATTGAAAACAATAATATAGATTATTAATTTATCTGAGTGCTATGGAGCTGCATAACGACAGAGAATGTAAAGAATATCGCTAACACGAACAGTGTATACCTGATTAACCTCAGAAGTGCAAGGGCATAGACTAGACTGTTTGAGCTGAAATATGAAATATTAATTGCTTATATCATGTATATTTTGAAAAGTGCTAGGAGATGATTCTGCTCGGCATAACATTATTTTTATTCATGACAGAATTTAAGCAAAATGGAAATTTTGAGCTATTATACGCATTTTCGGCAAAATTACGAGTATTTCTGAAACATCTCAAACTAGCTCCCAGCACTTTCGGGAAGCCAATGTAAATCTTTTTTAATATGTATCATTTTTTTTCTCCCAAAACATGCGTATGCCCTTGCACTAGCCTCATTTTCTACATTCAGTTGAAGGATTCTATTTTTGTACAAGTCACGTGACACACAGGTGATACATGCGATGAAGCTGGTACTGAGTAAGCCAAAAACCTATCCATTATGGATATCTATATTACGTTTCCTACATGTTTACAGTTACTTTGTTACAAAGATTTTTAAAAATAATACGTATAAAGAATGAACATTTTCCATTTCCTTCCTTAGCATAGCCGAGCATCTATCGGGGTATAAATACGGGTTGGTACGAGATCAAATTTATCATAAAGCCCTTCGGGCTTTATGGAATTTGATCTCGTGACCAACCCGTATTTATATCCCGATAGATGTTTAAAATTGATACATTATTTCTTAAGTATTGATCGGGTAGTCGGAATTTTCGGAATATTCTGTGGTCAAATTCAGTATTTAAAAAAAGATAAACAATTGGTATGAAACACGTTAGCCAAATTACGACCCATTGAGATAGCTTATATTTGCTAACAAGGTCATTCTAACTACCAAGAATTTACTAAATGCTGACTTTAAACGAGGTTGTTGAAATCCCTGTAACATTCAACTTATCTTTCAGAAACCTGCCTCAGTTTAAAAATTGATCGTACTTAGAGCATGTTCTTCAGTATCGAAGTAGTTGGGAGACATAAACATCATATACAAGTGATAACGGAATATTACTACATAAATAAGGCAAAATGACGTTGGAAAAGCTGAAGTTATCTCGTTTGTCACAATTTAGTTGTTAGTTGGCATTTTTCGTTTATAGTCAACTAAACATCCAAAGATGAAGCAAATTTGGCAGTCTCTGTCGTGTCTCTTATTTTAAGTTTAATGAGATATATCGAGTCGACATATGAATGGAAGTAACTTGCTCATTAGTATGTTTCTCTTTATATAATCAATACCCAACTATTTTCGCATAGTGTTCTAAGGATTTATATATAGCGTACGTACGCATAGTATGCCGAAATAGTTCATGGCTTCTTTTTCTGAAGAAAATCCGACTACACCCACGCCAGGGATCGAGCTCATGGCCCTGGGTTTGTCAGTCCGACACGCTACCAACTACGCCACAGAAACCATTACATGAAAAAGTTTGTTTTTAAGTATTTAAACGTAGTTTCATACATTTGACACTAACGGAGATTTTTTGTAAAAAAAAAAATCCCCCAAAAAGTTTCATGTAAACTTTTTTCTCTTTACTTGCAAGGCGTTAATACAAGCTTTAATACATCATTTCAACGCTTTTGATAAAGCAAATAAAAAAATGAGAAAACCACTGCAACACCCCCCCACCCCCCCACCCCCCATCCCCCGGGACTACCGGTAGTTTTGATGTCTAAATCAATGAAGCAATGTCTACCTCACTCTGATATAGAGCATATAAACTTTGGAACGAAATATGTTGTGTATTACCATAGATACTCTGCTGTTTCCTGTTATGAAGAAGTTTGGACATACACTGTACCCCCTTTTACATCCATTTAGTACTCTTACGTATGCTGTATGTCTTATACAGTTATAGTTAATTTTTGAAGTGAAATTATATTATAAACAATTTGGATTCATCTGTTACATCAATATAGTGATAAACAGCCAATGTTTTATAAATAAAAATTTCTGACAGCAATAGTTTTAATACTTACGTATATGGTGTTTGAGTTGAGTGCCATTGTTAATGACTTAATTAGTGGCGCAATTAATTTGTCTTTTTTAACTGAATTTATCCTATTCTTCCTGGTCATTAATGAACTTACATTCCCCCTCATAGAGGAAGCAACACTTTTGTTCCATTTTATAAATTACAAAATTTCCTTATATCCAAATTTGTTCGTGTAGCATTAAATCAAGGGATAATTATTTGAAGACCATTTATCCTTTTCATTTGACTTTGTTTGACAAAGAAGATAATTTTTAGACAAACATAAACAAATATAGTTGGCATACCTTAATATGGTAAAATTCAATAGAGGCCTTTCCTAGAAAACATCAAAATCCCTTGTATGTCCGGTCACATATAAAAGACCCTCTATACACCAGTGCAAAATATTTTTTGGACATTGAGAAATTACATTATATATAGGGGTAAATTTTGATCTTATCTATATGATTTTCAATGTATGGTACGTGGCATTTACCCCCAGGAAAAATGTTCAAAGACAACAAAATATCAGTGAACAGAAGTCACTGTTGTATACTTCAGTGGATAAAATATATGCAAATCAAGTGTTATTTTAATTCATCTTGGCCTTTTAAAATGTTAAGAACGCTTGAATTGATTACAAAGAAATACACGATAGATTTCAATTTATTTGAATTTAGATCCAAGGGCAAATCTCTCTAACTGCAGAAAAGTACCACAGAATCGGAACTCTTTAGTGTACAGTGTAGAGAGGGTTCTTAATCATTAATTTTGCTGGAAAAACCCTGATGAGAAGAAAAAAAAATCTGTACTTAAAGAAATGGTCGATAATTAATAACTTTGGTTATTATATAATACAGATATTCAAGTACCAGTTCTTAAAATGTACAAAACATGGTATGAAAGTTCCGAAGTGCAGATAAAAATTTATATGTATTTCACACTGAAGTGTGAATATTTTGTCTATTTCTTTTCATATATATATCTACCTGTATGACATGCATTTCCACCAGGTTTTAATCCTCCTCTCTTATGCAATAAAAAATGTTCAAAAGGTCTTGATTCATGTTATTGTCCAAAACTTTATAAAAAATAAAGGTAGACTACAGGATCCATTAAGTGCTCTACATCGTCCCTTACTCCTCACAACAAGAAACTTAAGACGTACTGATCTAAAACATATTTAATATGTAATGTTAATCAATTGGACATTCTCAGAACAAAAAATAACTTATCTAAAAAATTTTAGAAAATTTGCAATCACATTTTCCTCCAAAATATCAAAAATAGTAACATTATAACGTATGACTTTTCAACACTTTCTTTTTGTGATGGAAAACTAGTTCTTCAATAAAAATTGGACCCTGATATGTTCAAAGCGTGTGATTTTTCATCTTCAAAATTATTTAAAATCAATCTGAATCTACACCAAAGTACGCTGAAATTGAAGAAATATTCTTATTGACAATATCTATGTTGCCTTTGGAGACTAGGTTTTCCAACAAATTGTTGGTATTCACTACGAAGTAGAATCAAGTCAAAAACGTCTTAATGAGAAGAAATTTTGAATTCGATACCTAGATATATCGATAACGTTTTATCAATTAACGATATTTTATTTCATTCATTTGTCTATTGGATACATTCCCACTGAACTCGAAATAAAAGACATTACGGACTGTAACATCTGTTTGATATTTCAATGTCATGCTGAATATAATCGCTGAAGTCAAACTTAAAACCTACATGGAAAACGGGATAAATTCAGCTTTTCCATTCTCAACCCCCCCCCCCCCCCCCCGTATGTAATAATAATTCAATATCACCTGCATA